GATTACTTACGGCCTCTATACAAATATCCAACCAATATTAAATACGGGGCTTAGCGGAAGCAAAGTAAATATTGAAGAAGTCCATCAAGTTGTGCATAAATGAAAAGAGTTTACAGTAGCACTGTTCAACCATTCCAAAGGTAGGTACTTATACATTACAAAAGCTTCCAAAACAATATGGAAAATAAAACAAACAGAGGTTCAGCCACAATTCAACTAGATAAAAGACATATACAAAAAAAAAACCCTATACCGAAATTCAACTAAGAGTTCATAACAAAAGGGGGTTTAGGCTTGCTTTGCTCGTCATGAGTCCAAGTAGCTCCATCTCGGGAGCTCCAAAAAAGGCTGACTATGGGTTGACTCTATGGCAATCTATGTCCTTGATGTTCAACATGCTCACCTACATATATATAAACATAAATAGTGAGCTAATGCCCAATGAGTAATAACAGGATAAAGAGCTTATATGAATGAAGTTCCACAACATACAAATATCAATTAGATTAGCAATCATGTCAATCCTTTGCGATAAACAAAATCATTGATCGACAGCATATTCAATACAATTTCGATTTCAATTTAATTCTCAATGATTCGTGTTATCCCAATAACAATTATCATTCAATGACAAATTACATGGTACATCCAATAGAGTAAGAATGAATCAGTGGCAATGGAACCTCGAGGGTCAATCAATATCATATTCAACTATCCAAAGGGCCACGGTATTGTTTCCCCCGGGCAAGGGCCAATGGGCCATGGTATTGTATCCCCCAGGCAAGGGCCTATTAAACAATGGGCTTTGGTATTGATTTCCCCCAGGCAAGGGCCTATTTAGAAATGGGCCATGATATTGTTTCCCCCGGGCGAGGGCCTCACTAAAGGATGCTACAAGTTTACTTTCAAAAAAATGAACTTCATTCATTAGTAAAAATTAGTATTCCAATAAACCCAATCAATGAATCATGTATCAATTTCAATAACAATAACATTTTTGAAAATAAATATCACTTGAATATATCTTTATAAAGTTATTACTCACAGTGGTTTGTGTTGTCACTAAGCCTTGGACGTCCAACATAAATACAATTGAGGCACTAACTCATTTCAACTCCCTTTATGTGTTGCTAGCTTGTTCTATGATTATAGGAGTCCAAATGGTGCATAAGAATGCTTAGAGTGACATAAGGATGCAATTATGCACTTAGAAGAGTTCCTCAAAATTTGCTGAAAACATAGTCCACGCTCGGGCGCAACTTCCCACACTCAAGCGGAGGATCAAAACAAAGGTGGTCGCTCGAGAGTGATTTTCACACTCGAGCGACGCTTTCCTTGCTCGAGCTGACACGACGAATTCTGGGATTTCTAGAACTGCATTTGAGCTTCAAAGTTGCTGTTCAATGGTTCCAAACTCATATTTTAGGCACAAGGACATGGGAAAACTTTATAAAAACATGGAAATATAGTTAATTTGGAACCAATTGCTCAAATCAAGAACCAAAATCCCAAAATCCATCTTGAATTATGAAGTTAAAACCATGCATGAGACCAACTTTTTAATCTCTTTGCAAAACTTGACCAAATGGTATGCAAAGTGTACGAACATGAAAATCTCTTCAAATGAATGTGTGAGGGTTTCATGCATGTAAAGGATTTCAAGGAATTCAAACTCAAATTGGAGATCCATGCATGCATGTATGTAATCATGCTCAATTATTCCATAACCAGGTTGATCCTAGCATATACTTTCTAAATTCCTGCAATTGGTGTCATAGCTAGGTGAATTTATTTCTTATATGTATTATCTACAATAGTTGAGTGTGGTTTCCACACCTAGAGTTAAATTCAAGTGCAATCTTAGCTCAAACCTTCAAATCTTCCATAATTCTCTACAAATCTCCTTGTTCTCTCTCTAAAAGTTGAGCTCTCCTCCCTTCTCTCTCTAATTCTCAGCTCAAAGATGTATTTTTTTTGTCTATTTGAGCTTATGTAGCTCATATATATGTATATCATTAGCTTAAGTTAATTAAGCTTGATTAGGACTAATTAATCCCACTTCATTCTAATAAACTCAAATCAATCATTCTTATTATTTTGATTCGAATCAAATTTCAATTAAAGTTGTCATAAAATTCTAAATATTCTAAGTAGCCTATTGGGCTAGTCAATTTCAGTTTCTGAGGTCGTCTAGGCTTTCAATTTCTGACTCTAAGTTGTCAATTTGAACAGATAATCCATGTAACAACAGATAATCACAAATTAAACAAGTAATCACAGAATTAAACACACAATCATGCAATCAAACTTATTAAAATATTATACTAAACTAGTTCGGAGGTCAGGGTCGTCACAGTCTCTTCCTCATAGAAAGTTTGGTCCTCCAAACTTAAGTTACCTTCGGATGGAAACAAATGTGGATATCGTTGCCACATCTCTCCCTCATTTTCCCACGTAGCCTCCTTCCCATAGTGTTCTTTCCACTCGACTTTCACCATAGGGATAGTTTTGTTTCTCAATTGTTTCACTTGTCGTTCAATGATTTGCAGGGGCCATTGTTCATACACCATATTTTCATCTAACGCAATCCGGTGGTGATCAATCACATGGAACAGATCTCTAAGATACCCACGAAGCATGGATACATGAAAAACATTATGCACTTATTCTATCCCCGGAGGTAAGGCAATATGGTAAGCAACATGACCCGACCTTTCAAGGATCTGAAATGGTCCAATATAGCGAGGAGTCAGTTACATGATCTCCTTCATTGGTGTCACCTTGATGAATACATGATCTCCTGCCTCGTATTCTAAGTCCCTTCTTCACTGATCCGCATAACTTTTCTGTCGGCTCTGTGTAGTTTTGAGCCTTTGCTGAATGATTTTAATCTTTTCGGTCGTCTCTTGCACAAGTTCAGTCCCATAAATAGCCCTATCACTAACCTTTGTCCAACAAACTGGCGATCTATATTTTCTTCTATATAGTGCCTCATATGGTGCCATACCGATACTCGCGTGAAAACTGTTATTATATGCAAATTCGGCCAATGGCAAATAAGTTTCCCAACTACCCTGAAAATCCAATACACACATACGAAGCATGTCTTCTAAGGTCTAAATAGTCCTTTCGATTTGCCCATTGGTCTGTGGATGAAATGCTATACTAAATCTCAATTCTGTTCCCCTTGCATCCTGCAAACTATTCCAAAATCTAGAGACAAATTGAGGATCCCTATCTGATATAATAGACACTAGAACTCCATGCCTTCGAATAATCTCATCAATGCAGATAGTAGCAAGTCTATATGCAGTAAATGAAGTCTTTATAGCAAGAAAGTGGGCAGATTTAGTCAATCTATCAACTATAACCCAAATAGAGTCCATACCTCTGGGTGTCCGAGGCAGGCCAACAACAAAATTCATGGTGATATGTTCCCATTTCCATTCTGGAATAGGGAGAGACTGAAGCAAACCTACTGGTTTCTGATGCTCCGCTTTCACTTGCTAGCATTGTAAGCATTTAGAGTTGAAGTCCGCAATCTCTCTTTTCAATATTGGGTCACCAATACATTAGCTTCAAGTCTTGATACATTTTGGTGTTTCCTGGATGCATAGCAAACATCAACTTGTGAGCTTCCTCCAAAATGTTCCTGTTCAAATCTGCATTATTCGGGACACACAATCTCCCCTGATATTTCAACACGAAGTTTTCAATTATAAATCCCGATTTAGGCTTGGTGTCAAGTTCATCACAAATCTTCTTCAAGAACTCATCATTTATTTGTTTCTGCTTAATTTCCTCGATAATAGTAGGCTGGGCAGACATTATTGCTATCAAGTTATCTTGTTCAAAAGGCACCACTGCAATTTCGAGTTTTTCGAACTCCAGTAGCAGCTCTCTTTGATCTGTGAGCAAACAGGCAAGATTCCCCACACTTTTTCTGCTAAATGCATCTGCCACAGTATTGGCTTTGCTTGGGTGATAGTGAATCTGCAAATCATAATCTTTGATTAATTCAAGCCATCTCCTTTGACTCATGTTCAACTCCTTTTGTGTGAAAAAGTATTTCAAACTCTTATGATTTGTATACACTTCACATTTGACCCCATACAAATAGTGACACCATATCTTTAATGCAAACACCACTGCAGCAAGTTCTAAGTCATGTGTAGGGTATTTCTTTTCATGTGGCCTCAATTGTCGGGAGGCATATGCAATCATCTTGTCATTCTGCATTAAAACACAACCCAAGCCCTTATATGATGCATCACTAAAGATCATAAAACCTTCGGTACCTGAGGGGATAGTAAGAATAGGAGCTATAGTCAGTCTCATCTTCAATTCCTAAAAAGCTGTTTCCCTCTAATCTGTCCACTCAAATGGTTCCCCTTTCCGAGTCAATGGCACAACAATCTTTGAAAAGTCTCTAACGAATCTTCGGTAATACCCTGCCAATCCCATAAAACTACGAACTTCTGATACATTAGTCGGGGTAGGCCAATTAATGATTGATTCAATTTTATGAGGATCTACATATATACCATCCTTATTAACGATGTGCCCCAAAAATGCAATTTCAACAAGCCAAAATTCACACTTTTTGAATTTCCCATACAACTGTTTCTTTCTAAGTATTTGGAGGGTCTATCTCAAATGTTGTTCATGATCATCTTTATTTTTTGAATATATGAGAATATCATCGATAAACACTACGATAAATTCATCCAAGAAGGGTTTGAAAATTCTATTCATCAAATCCATGAATGCTGCAGGTGCTCCAAAAGGCATGACTAAAAACTCATAATGTCCATACCTAGTTCAGAAGGCAGTCCTTTCAACGTCTTCATCCTTAACCTTCAATTGATGATACCCCATCTTAGGTCAATTTTTGAAAATATTTGTGCGCCCTGCAACTGGTCAAACAGATCGTCAATACGCGGTAAAGGGTATTTATTTTTCACTGTTACCTTGTTAAGCTCTCGGTAATCAATGCATAGTCAGAGAGTGTCATCTTTCTTCTTTGCAAACAATACCAGTGCTTCCCACGGTGAAGTACTTGGATGAATAAAGCCCTTATCAAGCAGTTCCTGCAACTGAGTTTTCAATTCTTTCATTTCAGTGGTAGACATACGGTAGGAAGTTTTAGAAATTGGTTGAGTTCCTGGTATTACATCAATTGTGAATTCAATCTCTCTATCAACAAATTGGCCAAGTAATTCATCCGGAAACACATCAAGAAAATCTCTCACCACTGGTATATTGTCTAGAGTAATGTCTACCATTGGTTCGGTTATTACACTACACAAATACCCTTGAAAACCCCTATTTATTAGTTTTCGGGCTTTCATGGCAGATGTGAGGTATGGTGGTGAAACTACCCATTTTCCCTCAAAATAAAATTCTTCTTGTCCGGGAGGTCGGAATATCACTCGTTTCAAGGCACAATCAATAGTTGCATCATATTTAGCTAGCCAATCCATACCCAAAATAACATCAAAATGTCTCATGTCTAAAGGTATTAAATCGGCATAAAAGGTAGCATTCCTGAGAAATACTTCACATGCAACAAATATAGTTGAACATAACATGGATCCCCTCGTAGGTGATGCAACACATAGTATATAGTTCAATGTTTCCATAGGTCTATTCAATGTTTCAGCAAAAGCCATAGAAATAAACGAATGTGTAGACCTGGAATCAATTAAAGTATGAGCAAGTTTACCACAAATGGAGATTGTACCTGATACTACTACCTCAGTATTTTGAGTATCCCCTGGAATCAGTGCAAAAACCCTTCCTTGCCTTTGTTCATTTCTGGTGGCAGATGGTGTTGTAGCTGGTCTTGTTATGGGAACTGATCCTATCGAGCTCGTGGCACCTCGGTTACTAGTCTGACACGACTGTGTGCAATCTTTCGTCATATGCCCCATCTTTCCACACTGGTAGCAAGCCCCCGTAGTGCGATAGCAAACACCCCGGTTCTTCTTTCCACAAATGGTACAAGTAGGTATTGAGTTGCCACTTTGGGTTGACCCGAATTGTTGGAATTCCCAGACTTCAACTTCTTATTTGTTGATGGTGTCCCCTTGCTGAAATTTTGTCTGAAATTCTATTTACGGTTGGCTACATTTCTTTCTGTTATTAGTGCCCTATCAAGTACATCCACATATGTCAGCAATTTGAGCACATTGATTTTATCTAAAATTAGGTCACACAAACCTCCCTCAAATTGTCTAGCCTTCTTGTAGTCTGTATCCACCATGTAGGGTGGAAAACGGGCTAATTCTATGAAATGAGCTTCATACTCAGCAATTGATTTGTTTCCCTGCTTTAGTTCCATAAATTCAACTACTTTTCTATCCCGCACACATTGTGGAAAGTATTTCTCATAAAAGATTTCTGGAAAACGGGTCCAAGTAACATCCATATTATCGTCTCGAACCAATATCCACCAACGCCTTACATCATCTTCCAATATGAATGTAGCTAGTTGCACCTTCTGGGCTCCGGTACATGGAAACACCTTAAACAATTTTTCAATTCCCAAAACCCAAGCTTTGGCCTTCAGTGGTTCAATTGCACCATGAAACATTGGTGGCTTCATTTTCTTAAATTCTCTAGTCAAGGAAACAGTGCAAGTCTCCGGCTGACACCCTGGAGCTGGAGGTGGTACAGGCATTAGAGGTGGAGGAGGTGGTTGTTGTTGTTGCTGCCACTGCTATTGTTCTCTTATCGCCTCAACTATATCGTGCATCATTCGTTCCAGTCTGTCCAGTCTTGAAGAGGATACCTCCTCTAGCTCATCACTCCTTGTCCTCACCATTCTCTAGATAAAACTTGTATTATGATAAACACAACAAATAAAATATGTCCACTTGTACAAATTCAAAACATGTAATCATACAACTTATCTCACTCAAACATATAATTACACATGAATGCAATCCTGAAGTCCCTTCTAGATGCTCTATAGCTCAATGGACAAGTGAATGAGATGTAACTCGTGCTCTGATACCATTCTGTCAGGACCCAAACCTGCCTCTACAGGTTTAGTATCATGACCGACCAATAATCACGGATTACTTACGGCCTCTATACAAATATCCAACCAATATTAAATGCAGGGCTTAGCTGAAGCAAAGTAAATGTGGAAGAAGTCCATCGAGCTGTGCATAAATGAAAAGAGTTTACAGTAGCACTGTTCAACCATTCCAAAGGTAGGTACTTATACATTACAAAAGCTTCCAAAACAATATGGAAAATAAAACAAACAGAGGTTCAGCCACAATTCAACTAGATAAAAGACATATACAAAAAAAAAACCCTATACCGAAATTCAACTAAGAGTTCATAACAAAAGGGGGTTTAGGCTTGCTTTGCTCGTCATGAGTCCAAGTAGCTCCATCTCGGGAGCTCCAAAAAAGGCTGACTATGGGGTGACTCCGAGGCAATCTCTATCCTTGATGTTCAACATGCTCACCTACATATATATAAACATAATTAGTGAGCTAATGCCCAATGAGTAATAACAGGATAAAGAGGTTATATGAATGAACTTCCACAACATACAAATATCAATTAGATTAGCAATCATGTCAATCCTTTGCGATAAACAAAATCATTGATCGACAGCATATTCAATACAATTCCGATTTCAATTTAATTCTCAATGATCCGTGTTATCCCAATAACAATTCTCATTCAATGACAAATTATGTGGTACATCTAATAGAATAATAATGTATCAGTGGCAATGGGACCTCGAGGGTCAATCAATATCATATTCAACTATCCAATGGGCCATGGTATTGTTTCCCTTGGGCGAGGGCCAATGGGCCATGGTATTATATCCCCTAGGCAAGGGCCTATTAAACAATAGGCTTTGGTATTGATTTCCCCCAGGCAAGGGCCTATTTAGAAATGGGCCAGGGTATTGTTTCCCCCGGGCGAGGGCCTCACTAAAGGATGCTACAAGTTTACTTTCAAAAAAATGAACTTCATTCATTAGTAAAAATTAGTACTTCAATAAACCCAATCAATCAATAATGTATCGATTTCGATAACAATAACATTTTTGAAAATAAATATCACTTGAACATATCTTTATAAAGTTATTACTCACAGTGGTTTGTGTTGTCACTAAGCCTTGGACGTCCACCAAAACAAAACACATAACAGAAATACAATTGAGGCACCAACTCATTTGAACTCTCTTTATGTGTTGCTAGCTTGTTTTATGATTATAGGAGTCCAAATGGTGCCTAAGAATGCTTAGAGTGACATGAGGATGCAATTATGCACTTAGAAGAGTTCCTCAAAATTTGTTGAAAACAGAGTCCATGCTCGAGCGCAACTTCCCACGCTCGAGCGGAGTATCAAAACAAAGGTGGTCGCTCGAGCATGATTTCGTTCGCTTGAACGGTCAGCAAAAGTACTGGTTGCATGAAATTCCTGCCCGACTGTCGCTCGAGCGGGTACTGAGCAGAAAAGGTTCCTCACTCAAGCCCCACTTTGGTCGCTTGAACGACCTGCAAAATTTCAGAAAACTTCTGGGAGGTCGATTTTCATGGTCGAGCGACGCTTTCCTCGCTCGAGTGGACACGACGAATTCTGGGATTTCCATAACTGCATTTGAGCTTCAAAGTTGTTGTTCAAAGGTTCCAAACTCATATTTTAGGCACAAGGACATGGGAAAACTTTATAAAAACATGGAAATATAGTTAATTTGGAACCAATTGCTCAAAATCAAGAACCAAAATCCCAAAATCCATCTTGAACTATGAAGTTAAAACCATGTATGAGACTAACTTTTTAATCTCTTTGCAAAACTTGACCAAATGGTATGCAAAGTGTAAGAATATGAAAATCTCTTCAAATGAATGTGTGAGGGTTTCATGCATGTAAAGGATTTGATGGAATTCAAACTCAAATTGGAGATTCATGCATGCATGTATGTAATCATGCTCAATTCTTCCATAACCAGGATGATCCTAGCGTATGCTTTCTAAATTCATGCAATTGGTCTCATAGCTAGGTGAATTCATTTCTTATATGGATTATCTACAAGAATTGAGTGTGGTTTCCATACCTAGAGTTAAATTCTAGTGCAATCTTAGCTCAAACCTTCAAATCTTCCACAATTCTCTACAAATCTCCTTGTTCTCTCTCTAAAGGTTGAGGTCTCCCCTCTTCTCTCTCTAATTCTTAGCTCAAAGATGTATTTTTTGTCTATTTGAGCTTATGTAGCTCATATATATGTATATAATTAGCTTAAGTTAATTAAGTTTGATTAGGACTAATTAATCTCACTTCATTCTAATAAACTCAAATCAATCATTCTTATTATTTTGATTCGAATCAAATTTTAATTAAAGTTGCCATAAAATTCTAAATATTCTAAGTAGCCTATTGGGCTAGTCAATTCCAGTTTCTGAGGCTGTCTAGCCTTTCAATTTCTGACTCTAAGTTGTCAATTTGAACAGATAATCCATATAACAATAGATAATCACAAATTAAACATGTAATCACACAATTAAACACACAATCATGCAATCAAACTTATTAAAATATTATACTATACTAGTTCGGAGGTCGACATCGTCACAAAAACAGTTAGAAATTTCAGATACTTAGTTAATTTTGTTAAATAAAAAAAATTAAAAATGGGGTATTTGTAATTTTCTAAACTATATGAGGCAATCCGTATATTAAACAAATGGTTTATACCCCTAAACTATCGCAAAATTGTCTATTTAGTCCTTGAACTATCGATTGTGTCTATTTAAGTCTCTAAAGTATATAAATCAAAATCTATTTAGTCCCTAAACTATTGATTGAATCCATTAAGTCCCTATAATATTTAATTCAAACTTATTTAGTCCCTAAAAGTATTTTAAAAATGGGTTTATTACACTTTATACCCCTAAACTATTGCTAAATTGTCTACTTAATCCCTGAATTATCGATTGAGTCTACTATGTTCCTAAAGTATATAAATCAAAGTCTATTTAGTTCCTAAACTATCAATTCAATCTATTAAGTCTCTAAAGTATCTAATTCAAACCTATTTAGTCCTAAAAAGATTACAAAAATAAAATATAAACCATCAGTATTATAAATTAGTAAAAGACTCTATTTAGTTAAAATTTTATTTCAAAATAACCTTAAATTTTTATTTTCTCTTTGAAAAGTGGGCATCAGTTTTTATGGTGAATTTTCTTTATAAGGGTAAGAGTAATTTTCTATAGCATTCTATTACTTATCTTCTATAATGGCTACATGTTTGTCTTTATCTAGTATTATATGTCATATTTCTTTTATAATTACTAATTGATTATTTTTAAGTTTTTTGCTAGATTCTTTTTGTAACTTAATTAACGCATTATTTTGTTCAATTATTATTTGTAGCGAAATAGTATTATTTAATTCAACTTCTTCAGTATATCTAATACTCATATAATTTTATTGGCAAGACTGAAAAATCAAACTCTAATACTAATTTAAACACATGGCGAAATAAAATATTTTTTAACGAAAAAAATACAAATTAAAGATTTTTCTCTAATAAATTCTTGATTTGGTAAGGTCTTTTACTAATTTATAATATTTATGGGCTTATATTTTATTTTTGTAATTCTTTAAGGAATTAAATAAGTTTGAATTAAATATTTAAGGGACTTAATAGATTCAATTGATAGTTTAGGGACTAAATAGACTATACTTTAGGGAATGAGTAGATTCAATCGATAGTTCAAGGATTAAATAGACAATTTGGTGATAATTGAGGGGTAGAAAGTGTAATAAACCCTACAAAAAATAAAATATAAATCGATAAATATTATAAATTAGTAAAAGACCTTATCTAGTTAAAATTTTATTTCAAAAAATAATTAACTATTCTGTCTTTGAAAAGTGAGTGCCAATCCATATATTGAATTTCATTTATAAGGATAAAGGTAATTGTTTACAATATTTTCTTACTTATCTTCTGCAATAAATACGTATTTGCTTTTATCTAGTATTATATGTCAGATTTTGCTTATAATTTCTAATTGATTGTTTTTAAGTTTTTCACTAAATTCTTGTTATTACTTAATTAATGAATTATTTTGAGCTATTACTATTTGTAGAGAAGTATTATTATTAAAATTATCTAAATCTACTTCTTCAATATATATAATATTCATATAATTTATTGATAAGACAAAAAAATCAGACTCTAATATTAATTTTAAACACGTAGAAATAAAAAAACCTTTTAAAGACAAAATAAAAATAAAAAGATTTTTCTATAATAAAATCTTAATTGGGGAAGATCTTTTACTAATTTATAATACATATGGGCATATATTTTGTACAAAATAAATCCCTCACGTGTACTCCTTGTGACTAGGCTCGAACCCCTTTAAATGATATCGTTTGACTTGAAACACAACTCAAATGAGCTTATCGACAGATGTGTGTCGGAAAATTCCTCCAATACTTAAGTTAGCTCTTAAGATCAATACAGGGGAAAAGATCTGTAAATTCGGTGAGTAAAGTTACATTATCTTCATTAGGTTAACTCTAAACTTTGTGTATATTCTACAAGGTAGAATCTTAGTAAGACTTTAGTTCTTCATTAGGTTACTTAAGTCTACTTCTTAAGAGATAATACCCATCCTTTAATATCTTGAACAC